GTTGTTGATTTTGGCCAGTATTTCGTTGAACAGGATTTTGTGTCCGCTTTCTAGATTGAGTTCCGTTAGTGCTGACTGCGTTACATTTTTCAGTTTGACTGCGCTTTGATGTTCCTTCATACGTGTGCTCACCATCCTCCCAGTTTCTCTTATATAGATTTTGCCACAGGAGCAAAGGACACGATATACTCCAGAAGTGTCTAGTGGAGGTCTTCTGTCTTTTGGGTTGTTCAGATACTGTCCTATTTTTGTTGGTGGTTTGTAGATGGTTTTAATATTGTGTTTTTTCAGGATTCTGCCAATTTTGTCCGTAATTCCCTGTATGTATCGAAGGAAGGTGGTGATGGAGTTACGTTCTTTTGTCTATTCCTGGAGTTGTTCAGTCCGTACGTTTTGATGTCTTCTGATTTAATGTTTCCTGATTGTTTTGTTTATCTGTGTTACCGTGTAGCCATTATTTTGAAGAGTGTTCCTGAGATCCTTGAGATTTCTTTGGATGCGGTTCTTGTCGCAAATGGCTAATGCTCTGTATATTAGCGAATCGAGGACCGATTGTTTTTGAGCTGGGCGCTGATGTGATTTGGCATGGAGATATCGGTTGATGTGCGTAGGTTTCCTGTAAACTTGGTGACCCAGGGAGCCATCTGTTCTTCTCGTGACTAGGACATCCAAGAAAGAAAATCTGTTGTTTTGTTCGACTTCCATTGTGAAAATAATGTTGGGATGTTGTGTGTTGAGCGCATGAATTCCTGGAGTTTTTCTTTTCCGTGTTGACAGATGACGAAAGTGTCATCTACATATCGAAGCCATATTCGGGATTTCAACTGGCATTTTTGGATGACTTGAGATTTGAAATGTGCCATAAAAATGTTAGCTATGACTGGAGAGATTGGGGATCCCATGACTGCACCTGAAATTTGTTTATAGAATTGATTATTGTAGCTGAAATATGTATTAGTCAGGCAGTGTTCGATTAGGGGGATAAGATCTGGAGGGACTTCCTTAGCCTCAACCCTTCGACCAGACTTATCTCTCACACTGGACCACATAATGTATGAACAATCCCAAAACATTTACGTACAGTCATCCCAACGACAGACGGAAAAATATCATAAACTAACAAAAAACAGTTACACCTCCTCCACCAAACACAGTAAAGAAACCTATTCAAAGCCATCTTCTCAGAAACCATTTCCGCCCTTCACAAAGGATCAAACTTTGCAATACCTCCAACTAAAATACCAAAGGAAGAAATAATCAGTCAGATAGAATTCTCCCTGTTCCTATTCCCACAAAAACAATCTAGCAATGTCCGTAGATTAACAGCCAATATACTATAGAAATCCAAACTACCAAAACAGAACCTGACCAAACCAGTACGCTCTAAGACAACTAAACCAGGATACGGACATCATCATCTTTCCAGCGGACGAAGGTAACACAATAGTAATAATGAACAAAGAAGACTATGATAAGAAAATACAGGAACTTCTCACAAACGATACCTACCAGAAACTGAAGAAAGACCCCACCCAATCTTTAAAAACCCAAACAACGAACCTTATAAAGAACAGTACCAGACAAAACAAAAACCATCCTAATCCCAAAAAACGCAACACCTCCAAGACTATACGACCTTCCCAAAATCCACAAAATCAACATACCATTCAGACCTATAGTGAGTGTCATGAACTCCCCAACATATAAACTGGCACGCTTTTTAATTAGTAAACTGGAACCTGTCAGTAAAAACACCCCCAACACGGTCAGAAAATCGGCGGATTTTATACAAAAGATAAAAGGGATCATTTCGAATCTTAAGTCATCCAAAAATGAAGGAACATCAAAGCGCAGTCAAACTGAAAAATGTAACGCAGTCAGCACTAACGGAACTCAATCTAGAAAGCGGACACAAAATCCTGTTCAACGAAATACTGGCCAAAATCAACAACTACTTCCCTAGGAAATACAGGGAATCCTTGGAAATTCAAAAGCACCCCAACAATCTCAACAGGGATAATGAACAAAAGATCAGTCCAATCTGGCAATCCGTCCTCCCGGTTTCCAAAACATGACAGACAATAAATTTCACATCACCATCCC